ATTATGACTATATATATATATAAACAAAACAAACAAAAAAACAAAACAAAACAAAACATTTTGTTTACTGGTAGGAAATTATTTTACCATGCAAGTAATGTTCTACTGAATGGAATTTTTGTGATTAATTGAATTTTCAAAAAGAATACTTGAGTGTTGTGTTTAAATATATTTGCTCCTCGTAAGTTCTTTTTTTTTTTTTTTTAGAATATACTGTAAAAATGTCCTGCCTGACAGTTTTAAAGTCCAAAGAAAGCAGAATGAATAGAGAATCAGAAATTTCTATATCTTAGGGGTTATTAAAGCCCTTAAAGACATATCCAAGAAACACACCCATTCTTAAATAATTATTCTCACGGAAACCAAACTTGGAGACTTGCAGAAGAGCCAGAGAGGTCTGTCCAATGATACTGCACAGAGAGGCGTTAGATTACAAACAGCCTGTTGGCTGGGAGCCCATCTTCATGCACCAAACCAAAGCAAACTTTGTACTGATCTGCATGCAGAGTGGACACAGACAAATGCATCTGGCAATGACTCAGAAAGCAGGACCTCTTTTAAGGTGTCAATTTCAGTAACAGCGTACATGTCCACGCACCACCCCCACCTAACGCCAGGCTCCAACTGAATGTGATAGCTGTTTGGGGGAACACAATTTAATCAATAGTGAACCCTCCTATGATAGAACATCAGCATATTGTAGATTCCTAACAAGGACAACGGGCTTGGAGGAAAATGAATATTTTGGGATAAACTGATGGGACTTTAAAATGTGTTCATTCTATTAACAAAGAATAGTCCCTTCAATCCAGGATCTTTTCGGGGACTAAAGTTGAAGGATGCTTTGCACAGCAGGAATGGAAACACTTGAGAATGTATTGGGTATCTTGACTTAATGTTACCTGCTACATAAATTAATCATCATCATACAATTCCATATCATATATTCCACTAGCGTTTCAAATGCATCAAGTAACTTTAGTCCAAATTTGGAGGCGGGAGGGGGGACAAGCTTGCAGCTTGAGAACAGAGTTCCCCCCGGGGTGGGGGCCCTCCCCGAGGCGGGGGCCCTCCCCGAGGCGCCGGTCACCCCACCGGGGGAAGGATTTCTGTCCTGGGGAATCAACCCATCCCTCGAGAGTCTAAGGCAGGCCTCTGAGTGCGCCATGGACTCCCACCAACACAGGAGTCTCAGCTGCTTTCTCTTTCAGCATCCAGTGCCTATAAGGAAACTATATTAGGGAGAAATAGCATCAGCTTAAAAATACCAAACGATGATTTCCCATCCGCCAAGAGCTGAAGGCAAGACGCAAGTCTTGTCAGAAACGGTTCCCAGTGACTCCTGGGAAAATCCAGACGGACCGAGGGGTGGACGGGCGTATGAACTTCATGAACTGTGGAGGGAGGGCCTGTGGGCACCACCTCGGCCCCAGCGGCCCGCTTACCATCGCACTTCTCCAGGATCTGAACCGTGTCTCCAATCTCCAGCGACAGGCCGTAGGGGACGGTGCCTCGGAAACTGGCAATCACTGCAAGAAACGGGAGGAAGAGATGAAGATACTCACAGGCGGGTCGGGGAGCGACACTGCTCTCCGCTAACTGGGACTGAGCAGGAGACCTGGCTGTGGACGGAAGTGCACTTTGTGCGAGGACCCACTGTCCTGCCTTCATGTTACGTATTTTTGAAGAGTCGGTCTTTAAGTTTATACACTTTGCCAACTTCTCGGTCGAATCAAGATGAATGTCAAGGGTGTGGAATTCACTAAAGGACCGCGCCTGCATGCTCACCGCTACACTCCCTCCCCATCCAGGCGCCTACCCCACGGTGGTTACTCAATAAGTAGATGTTCCATGATAAGTGAGGAATGCATGTCTTACTTGTTATTAAACTACAGTGATGGAAGGAGATGCCTTGTCCTCAGACTCTGAGCTCCTCAAGAGCAGGCACTGTGTCCATTGGCTCACTATGTCCCCAGGACTTTGCCACAGTCTCCGTGGAGTGACCAATGGGGACGTTTTAGTTGGTAATGACTGGAGCCCTCCCCCGGGAATAAACACGGCCACTACGCCCATGCCCATAACCTGGGCCGGCACCATCCCAGGCCCCCGCACCCGGGCCGGCACCATCCCAGGCCCACGCACCCGGGCCAGCACCATCCCAGGCCCACGCACCCGGGCCAGCACTGCATTTGGAATGGGTGGGTGAGGGGCACCCCTTAGTGCCACCTGCTGGTTACTGAATGACTGGTTTCTGAAACCTTTTGCAGGTGGGATGGGCCGGGGTGGAAAAGCAGAGAGAAGGTGTGCGTAGCTCAGTCCAGCCCAGGCGCCTCGAGGGAATTTTAGTGAGATGCGCACAGTGACTCTCCGAGGGACACCGATGCTCGACTCAGAAAGGAGGCGGCACGGGAGGGATAACAAAGCTGCACCCCAGCTCAGGAAAGACGAGAGACCGCAGTTACAGACCATGTGCGCCGAAACCCACCCGCCGCTCACTTCCAAAGAAAATGACAGCAAGTGCTTTCAGTGCTTGGCTCTTAAAAGACCAACATTTTGGAAGTGAACGTGAGCATTCTGTCTCGGACAGGGAGACGCAGATACACCCCCAGGCCCCCCATAAAGGACGGCCCTTCTGTGGAAGCCCCGCGGGTCTGTCACAGGTAACAACGTGCCCAGGTGGCGGGCTTTTAGATCGGCTTGAAGCCCCTTGGTGATCTGTAAACAAAGTTAACCGCAGAAACCAAAACACGGGGCAGAAACCATAACCCAGAGTCCACGAGGTAACCACGTCAGGACACGTGGGACAAGCACGAACTCACAGCGTCACGGTGGGACTAGCACCATGAACGACCTAGTACCGACGTGCCAGACCTGTGCATACTTCGCAGGTCACTCCCAATAACTCCCAGACACCCCTTCTTACAGGGGGTTGGCGATTTAGACATCTCATAAAGACGGTAACTTAGAATCGATGACTGGGTCCTCAGGCTTTCCGAAGAGCCCACGTAATCAATGAAGCGGCTGAAATAATAGTTTCACGTGCAATGAAAGTGAAGGACGGGGGGATTCCCAGGACGGGGGGGTACGCCCAGGGGGAGGCGGGGACACACTGGCAGGTGTGGACAGATGATGTGATCAGGCCAACTCCTTCCAACACCTGCTTCTCGCCCTGGTCACCAGGGAAACGCAGGCCCACGGAGGCCCCCACACCTCAACCGCCAGGACCAGGCGGCCCGTCTGCTCAGTGCCCCCAGCACAGACTGTCTAATTAGGGGTACATCTCGCTAGTCTTCCATCCTTCCCTGTTCCCCAGGGGAATATGGTCACGTGAGGCTCATCTCTCTTTCCACCCCACTCCCCCCCCCAACCCCCCAGGCAGACGCAGTAGCTCTCTGACCCACGGGGAGCCGTGGGGCCGGGAAGGAGCCCAGCCCAGCCATGCCTCAGGCTCTGCACAGTGTGAGGCCGAGCAGGGCCACATGGGAATAATCGCATCGTGACTAGCCACGTGGTATTTGTAAACCTGGGATCACGTGGCTCACATTTTGCAAGAAATTCGTCTACCCCGTAACTCCCACTTCATAAATTCTCTCCGAAGCCTTTCTGCTTCCCCTCAGGGGCTATTTGTAAAGTAAAAGATATTTAGCGGGGGAAATGCTGCCAGTTTATCTGTGAGATGTTAACGGCAAGTTAAGGCAAAACTCATGCCACTGCAACAGCCGTCAGCGCACCCGGTAAAAATGAGCACGACCGACTCGGCACTCGTCTGTTATGGATAAACTTTCAAACCCTCCCGCGGGGTTTCTCAGGGCCCCAAGTTCCCTGGGACCGTGCCCCCTGCCCCCCCACTTCCCCGTTCATGAACGAACGCAGCGGGCGCTTCCTGGGCTCCCTCCTCGCTGTGGATCCCAGCGAACGGCGCTCCCAGGTGCTGTCCACCATCATGGACATCTGGGTTCTTCCTTAGCAAACTGCTACACTGCTTAAAAGCTACCCCCCCGACACACCTCTTTTTTTAAATCGAGATTAAACATGGCTGTGCTTGACCAGGGTTACGAAGCTTTGTAAATATTTATCCTCTCCCCTCTTACACAATGAAACTTGCCAAACAAATCAGATTTTCCAAAATATTTCCAAAAGCAGACAGCAGCTCTGCCCAAACCAGCCACTTCGTTTCACAAGATGGTAATTAGGGACAAGCCCCTCCTGCGGCTATGTGGTGTGAATGAGATTTTGCACTTGTTTTTATTTTTCTGAGCATCATGGGAGGTGACTCAGTCTGTCCAGGAATTCCATCTGACAGTGCGAATGCCTTCGGGGCATATTCCCAAAGCGGGTGCCTCCGCATTCCCCACATTCCCGGCAGCCCAGAGGCGAGTAACCGGTGCCCAGAGGACCAGATTAGAGAGAGATTCCAGGCAGCACAAACATTTCATTTTGGGGAGGGAACCTCAAACTCCCCAAAATAACCTCGACATATGAAATGTAAATGGAAGGAGTGAGGGGATTTATATAATCCCACTTCACCAAGAGCAGGCCTGGGAGCTGAAACCGCTGAGCCTCCCTAGAAGTCACACTACGGCAAATGTGAGCGTAAGAAGATACGGCTGCTTCTTCTTTTATTAGTAACTATAATTTTTAAAAATTATTTTTACTTTTTCATCGATTTCAGAGAGGAAGGGAGAGGGAGAGAGAGAGAGAAACATCAGTGATGAGAGAGAATCATTGATCGGCTGCCTCCTGCACGCCCCCTACTGGGGATCGAGCCTGCAACCCGGGCATGTGCCCTGACTGGGAATCGAACCGTGACCTCCTGGCTCACAGGTACTCTGGGAGGGCCTGCATCAGCAACACAGTCCAGTGGGAACGGCAACCAGGAAAGCTGGGTGTGAATTCCGTGACCCCTGCCCCCCCAGGTCTCTGTCCCCGTGAGAGAGCCGTGGAGGCAGCTGAAAGCAGGCCCCCACTCCCGCCAGCTCGGCAGAGGCTGTGGGGCTGACGACCCCGAGTCCGTCCTGGGTGAACGCAAAGCAGCGTCTCAAAGGGCCACCACCACCAGCGAGACCTCGGGCGGAGGCCACGCGAGGAGGGAGACGGCGGCCACCACGTCCTGCCATGTGGGGCACAAACGAACACCAGAGGGTGCACAGAGGCGGAAGCTGATGCCCAAGGCCGTTCTGAGGGCCCCCTTCCCGACGATGTGGACCCAGAATTCAGCATCTAGACCAGGGGCAGGGAACGTCCGGCCGGCGAAATCCTGTGGTCTGGCCCTGCCAAGGCATGTGGGTGAGTTCATCCAATGTTCGACCCAATGGAGCAGCTAATGTTTAAGCTGGTCATTCTGTGTGGCCCGAGAATGACGTTATAGCCGTTCTGAGGGCTCCCTTCCCGACGATTTGGACCCAGAATTCAGCATCTAGACCAGGGGCGGGGAACGTCGGCCCACGAAATCCTGTGGTCTGGCCCTGCCAAGGCATGTGGGTGAGTTCATCCAATGTTCGACCCAATGGAGCAGCTAATGTTTAAGCTGGTCATTCTGTGTGGCCCGAGAATGACGTTATAAGTATCCAAATGGCTTTGGCAGAAGAGAGTTCCCCACCCCTGATTCAGAGGACAAAGCCAGGAGGCAGAGAAACACTTCACTTACACGCATGAATGTTTCCCACCGCGGCCCACACACCAGTCCGAGCGGCCCTCCGTCCCCAGCACCACGAGACTGAGTGTCTCCTGGGTCCCCCGGCCCTTTCTCTCTCTGCCTGGACGACCCCCTTCCCACAGAATCGGACCACAGCACTGACCCGCTCAGGGGGGGGCCACGGCGTACCTTTCGGACGTCTCTCTACTCGTTTAAAAATCAGGGCGCTGGGCCGGCATTTCCACCTGAGCACCTGCCACGGGCACCGCTCACCCAGCATCCCCACACTACGGCACGACGCACGCTGAGCTTTCCCTGCTCTGGCCCCGGGCACCCAGCTCCCTCCCGCCCCTGGAGTGCGTCCCTCGAGCCGTGGCACCCTGCTGGGAGCCGTGCCTGAGGGTTCTGTGACCTGTCACAGGGCCAGGGACCCATGGCTGCGCCCACAGAGGGAGGCGAGTGGCCACTGTCCGCGAGCAGCGTTTCCGCGACAGTACTCCGTGTGAACACGCACCCCCCTCCCGCCCAGCACCCCTTCATCAGGCGCCCACCGCGGGGAGACGAGCATTTTGAACCCCTCAGCCATGGGACACTGAGCCGCTGACCTCATCAGTAGGTCCTGCATCGGAATCTGTTTTGTGAAAATAAAGATCCGAGGCAGCCTCGAGGGACGAAAGAAAATGGGGACCGATAATGGGCCAGCTGTCCCCCTTCGCTGTCAGCACGGGACCAGGCACGGTGTTCGCACAGCGTTTTCGAAGTCCGAGCGGCAGCGGACGAGGACTGGCCCTCACCCTGGCACTCCCACGCCGGGCAGGACGGACGCGTCCCTCTGGTCCGGATAATCTGAACTGTCAGCAGCAGCGGCTCCCGGACGCACACGGAAATCCATTC